CCTCGGATAACCTAGATTTTTCGAAACACACTTCCATATAGAAATATATTCTGGTTAAAGGGATGCCGACGGCATAATCAATCGGCTACGCGCTGGAAAGAAAATGTCTCTGCGCTTCTCCCCAGGGCGCGCTCTCTGCCCTATTGGCTACTTGCCAATTTGTTGCTGGGGGGATCGACACATGCCGTCGGCAGCCCTTTAAGGTGGAGAGATCAGGGTCAAGATGCAGTGCAGCTTCGAAAAGCTGCGTTCCAAAATTTAGCAGACCTCCATTGAAGAGTTCCGGGTCAAATTCTAACCTCAAATGGATTTATCAAATCCGTGCCGAGCGAGACAATTTTCAGCTGATCTGCCATCCCTGTGGGCCAGGTGGGCGTCTCTTGCTGCCAGTGCGAGCAAAGAACATTTGGGGCCAGCGGGGCCTCCCCGGCATTCCCAGAGCCATCAAACAGTACGATTTTGGATAGCGTGACCAGCGATCTTTCGGAACTGAATCGTCACACCGAATCAAGCAAATCAAGAGCAATAAACCGATGGAGAGTGATATCAGGTACTTTTTCGTCCGGACCACTAGTGCAGATTCGAAAACCTGCTTTCCAAAATTTATGTCTTCTGAAGAAGAGCTCGAGTTAGATACTAACCTCAAATGGATTTATTAAATCCTTGTTTCTGTGATTCAGTTCTCAGCTGAACTGTCAGGCTAGTGGGCCAGGTGGGCGTCTTTTGCTGTACACAGGAGAAGTAACCATTTCGCGCGAACGTGGCTTCCCCGGGGCTCTCAGAGCCATCAAACAGTACGATTCTGGAGAGCGTGACCAGCGGATCTTTCGGAACTGAATCGTCACACCGAATCAAGCAAATCAAGAGCAATAAACCGATGGAGAGTGATATCAGGTCCTTTTTCGTCCGGACCACTAGTGCAGATTCGAAAACCTGCTTTCCAAAATTTATGTCTTCTGAAGAAGAGCTCGAGTTAGATACTAACCTCAAATGGATTTATTAAATCCTTGTTTCTGTGATTCAGTTCTCAGCTGATCTGTCAGGCTAGTGGGCCAGGTGGGCGTCTTTTGCTGTACACAGGAGAAGTAACCATTTCGCGCGAACGTGGCTTCCCCGGGGCTCTCAGAGCCATCAAACAGTACGATCCTGGTTCTCATGCCGGGGTGCGCAAGCAGCGATCTTTCGGGATAGAGGAGTCAAATGGATTCGAAATTAATACTAACAATAAACGATTTATCGTTTTTCGCTCAAATATTTAGCGCAGCTTCGAAAAGCTGCTGTCCAAAATTTATGAGTCTTCTGAAGAAGAGCTCGAGTTAGATACTAACCTCAAATGGATTTATTAAATCCTTGTTTCTGTGATTCAGTTCTCAGCTGAACTGTCAGGCTAGTGGGCCAGGTGGGCGTCTTTTGCTGTACACAGGAGAAGTAACCATTTCGCGCGAACGTGGCTTCCCCGGGGCTCTCAGAGCCATCAAACAGTACGATTCTGGAGAGCGTGACCAGCGATCTTTCGGAACTGAATCGTCACACCGAATCAAGCAAATCAAGAGCAATAAACCGATGGAGAGTGATATCAGGTACTTTTTCGTCCGGACCACTAGTGCAGATTCGAAAACCTGCTTTCCAAAATTTATGTCTTCTGAAGAAGAGCTCGAGTTAGATACTAACCTCAAAGGGATTTATTAAATCCTTGTTTCTGTGATTCAGTTCTCAGCTGATCTGTCAGGCTAGTGGGCCAGGTGGGCGTCTTTTGCTGTACACAGGAGAAGTAACCATTTCGCGCGAACGTGGCTTCCCCGGGGCTCTCAGAGCCATCAAACAGTACGATCCTGGTTCTCATGCCGGGGTGCGCAAGCAGCGACCTTCGGGATAGAGGAGTCAAATGGATTCGAAATTAATACTAACAATAAACGATTTATCGTTTTTCGCTCAAATATTTAGCGCAGCTTCGAAAAGCTGCTGTCCAAAATTTATGAGTCTTCTGAAGAAGAGCTCGAGTTAGAAACTAACCTCAAGTGGATTTATTAAAGGGGCTCCGAACTGCCAAATCAAAGCCCTTTTGGGAGGCCTCTTTGATTTCTGGCAAATTGCCAGCGGGCGCTGCGGGACAAGAGCCCTCACTCTTTCGATTTTTGCGCGAAGTTGTTTTTGCCCGGTTTCTTTGAGAAAACACTGGAATTTGCGCATTCTGAGCCCATTTTTGAAATCCTCACTTAATTTTAAATAGTTTTAGTGTTTTAAGCATCAAATTTGGCCCAGAAACAACCGAGAACGTGATTTCGAGGTGACAACAGGCAATTTCAAATTTGCGAGCTTCCCGGGCCCCTGGGTGTACAGAGGCCTCCGACGTACAGGGCTCCGATTTTCGGGCCGTCACTCAATTTTTGGCATTTCGTAGCCCCTTTAAATCCGTGATTCTGTGAGTCAGTTCTCAGCCGATCTGTCAGGCTAGTGGGCCAGGTGGGCGTCTTTTGCTGCACACAGGAGCAAGAAACATTTCGCGCGAACATGGCATCCCCGGGATTCCCAGAGCCATCAAATAATCAAATAATACGATCATGGTTCTCATGACGGGGTTGGCAATTTTTTGGAAAAAGTGATTGTTATGAAAATGACACCAAATCACCTTAGATTTTTGAAAAATTCAACGGCATGCAAAAAAGCTGACGTGATTACACCCTGCTTCGAAGCCTAATGGTAAATTATCGTCGAAACACTATTTTTCTCGAAAAAAGCTTGGCAATTTTTCAAGCTAGCAGAGTATTTTGGAGAGGAGAGAGGAGAAGGATTACAAAATTTTAGGGGATAAACTAATATTACGCCGGTCTCTAAACGCCGCAGACTAATTTTTCTCAAAACATATACTTTTTAAATACGCTTAAAAGTAACAAATAGCGAATAAGCACCGCGAAGAGTGATGGAAAGCTTGCAGAGAACCTTTGGGGAATGATGAGGTTCTTTGGCATTATCGGGGGGAAGGTGGTTGCCAGGGCGGAATTCAACGTTTTTCTTTATAGCCAATTGTTCAAATATAACCAGTGGAAGTGTTTCTAAGCCGTTGTTTTACTAATAATAAGCGCCAAAATTTGCTGATTAGAACAGATTAAAAAGCAAGAAAGAGCGATTTATCTACCTAGAAATGGCCGATTTTCTGGCGTTTTAAGATAAACAAAATCTCCTTGTAATACTCAAGCTAATTTTACTAAAAATTGTAGAAATAACTAAAAAAAGCCGTTTGACAATGCGAAAGCCGCAATACTAGAGCGAACTCGCTTTGCACATTACGACCAATCTACACCTCGGATAACCAAGATTTTTCGAAACACACTTCCATAAAAATAAACGCAAATTTTTTTATTAATAAAGAACTCAATTTAAAGGTTAAATTAAATAGACCAGCCCTCCCAGACATGTTGCTAACCCCAAAAAAATACATTTTCCGCGTTTGAAGCCCCCGCCGAGCCTCCGGCGGCCCCCCACAACGTGCTATACAAACAGAAAAAGAACGTATGGGCCCACCGCTAGCCACCCCTATCCACTTGGAAAAGACCACACACGATGCAAGATGCGGGTCGTTGAGGATTAGCGCCTAAAGCCGATGAAAAACGGGTACTTTCGCATTATTGGGGGGGGGGGGATGGGCAAATTTTTTAAGGATTGAAAGAGCACCATTTTTCAGGAAAAAGGGAGAATAGATGTGTTTCATTCCGCGGATCGGATGCGTTTTTCCAGGATTTTTTAATAAAGTACCAGGCTTGAAAAGCCGCTCCGCGACTTTTCAACCCTGGCCCCGTCTTGGACCCCATGCTATTCCGCCCTTTGCATAATTGTCTTCATTCAGAAGGCAAAAAAATGAAAAACAACCCCTTCTGCCTCTTTATATAGGCGACCGCCCACTTCCGGTCTATGCTAATTATTCCTGACACAGAGGTTTTTACATAAACCTAAATTTAATAGCGAAAATGGCTAATTTTTCAAAATCTGATATGTGTGCAGTCATCCCTAGACCATTACGCACCTAATGACGTATCAAACGTAGCCTACTACCCGTCCCTTCTTGAGATATCCTCCGGACAGACAGACGGAAGTGGATGCAAAGTGGCACACACACACAGACACTATTTTTTTATATATAGTAAGATTTTCGCTGTGCGCATACAAAATTCGACACCTAAATCATGACACTTACGTTTTTTAATAGACTTCCGCCTCTAATTCTGCTCCCCAAACTCGATACAACTCCTGACTTATGAAAAGGTTTTTGATAAAGATAAAGCTCGATTAAATGATGAAGAAAAAAGGCAGTGCCTTGGAAAAAGAAACACCAATTTTCAATTTTAAATCAACGTTAGCAAATTTCCCACGGTTCGCATGCTTGTACTACTGCCCATAAGTTACTAACGGCCAATAATAGCCCATAATGGGCCTTGCTGCCAAGAAAGAAAGAAAATGAAGAAACCTGGGAATGACAAAACGAAATCAAGCCATAAGCATGCAGAATAAACGATTCATCGCAATCTTTATGAGCCCAGACGGTGAAACACATCTCCGGTATTTGGTAGGAAACATTTTTCCAAAAATGCTCGGCCGAATCACGAGCTGGAGAAACATCTTGCATCTCACTTTAGGCGTCAAAAAAGCCAAGAATGCTTTAAAAGAGCCCAACCTATCACTCTCACAGTTGTCGTACCAACCAGATTTTTAAAAGGCTTTATTCGCAGCGAGGGTGGGGGCGTAAAAATACACGACATTGATAACTACCGTAGCTGAATCGGGGAAGGGGGAGGGCTGAAGGGGTAGCGAATTTTTAGCCATATCACAGCACACAATTCGAGACGAGTCAAGCGAGAGAGTGGGTGGGTGAGAGGGAGACGGAAAATGAGAGGGAGGGATTAAGAAAAAGCACAGAGACGCAGAGAAAAGGAGTGGCAAATGAGCCGAGACTTGTCGAAGATGTTGGTGATGTCGTCGAGTCGCCTGCTGCATCCACCCTCTCACTCGTCGTTGTCGCTGCCGCCGGCGGATTTGACGAGGGGCTGGCCGCCGCACGTCGCCCACACCTTCTCAAAGTCATGCTCCAGGATCTCGGCGCCCTGAAAAATAAAGTTTTGGTGAGCAGGAGCCAAGTTCCTACCTTCATCCACGGCAGGGCCGTCTGGTCGAGGCGCTGCGGGCACATCTCCAGATCGTCACGGCCTAAAATATGAGTCATAATACAACTTGAACCTCTCGAAACGTACCGGCAATGAGCAGCACCGCCTCGCCGGTGTTGCGCACCTCAATCTGACGCTGGACCCATTGGCCGTTGAAATGGGCGTACCACATTCCCTTCGGCGGCCCGAAGCTGCGCACGACGGAGGTAGCTAAAAAAGCATCGTTTTCGTTAGGATTTCCAGCCAAAAAATTGTTCTGTAAAATTTTTTATATACAAAAAGGAAATGTTAGTCACTATTTATTTTTTGCGCTTTATTATTCCTAGCAGTGAAAAATATTCTAATTTTAATTAAGCATACAAAAAATGATAGCGATTTTCGACGAAATAGCGATTGCAAGATTTTACAGTTTCTAAGCTTTCTAAACAGCTTTTGCAAGCGAAAAAGCTTCCAAAAGGTTAAAACGATCAGATTAATTCAAAAAATTTTAAAAATAAAGAATTTTGATAGAAAACCGTACGGTTGCTGGACTGCATCATGGCGAGCGGCACCTCGAGCGGGGTCTTGAAGTAGCGCTGCTGGGTGGAGACGAGGTTGGCGATGGGCTGGGCGGCGACGAGCGTCCCCTTCGGCTGCTCCGTCTTCTGCAGGGCCAACGGGACTTGGCGAGTCGCCTCGGTCTTCTTCTCCTTGTCGGTCTGGTTCTTCGTCTTCCATTCGCTGAACGTGCGCAGGCGGCGGTGGAACTCCTCCTTGCACGCCATCACCAGCTCGGCGTCTAGAATATTTTGGGTTAAATCAAATTTTTAATGATTTTTACAGGTTTTTTGCTTAAAAACTTAAAAACAGTGGAAAAAAGCTCCCGTAATTGTTATAAAAAATCTAGAAAAAAAAATTGGTTTAGAAATAGAAAAATTTTGCCCCCCCCCCCCCGATATTACAAAAGGACCAGGGACCCCACAATGACAAGCTTACCGTCAGAGGTGTTGATCTGCTCGCGGAGCGCGGCGTATTTCCACGTCGCCAGGTCGTACTTGGCGCGCTTGGCGGCGCTGGGGCCGCCCGAAGCAGCGACCGGCGACGACGATGCGGTCGGGGGCGGGGCGACAGCCGGGGGCGGGGGCTCGACAAGGGTGGCCTGGCCACGCTCCTCGGCGGCCAAGCGGGCGGCCAGCTGGGCGTCGAGCTGTTCTTGCTGGGCGATGCGGGTGGCGAGCATGGCGTCCTGGCGAACTTGTTCGGCGCGGGCCAGCAGCTCCTCCCTCTGCTGCTCGAGGCGGGCCAGGTGGACGCGCTCGGCACGCTCGCGCTCCTCCTCCAGCTCGCGGCGCCTAGAAAAGGGTTGTAAAAGTGAAAAAAATCGTTGGTGCTGGGCTTTTAGCGGGGGGACTTACAATAGCGAAATACCGCTATTTATTAAAACTTTTTAAAATGTTTTTAACTCTGGTTTTACTTTCCCAAAAAGGAAGGCAATAAAGCTCCAAAACCTCGAACTACTTCAATTTCTTAGATTTAAACATTATGAAAATTTCTTTAATGATTTTCTCACTTTCGCTCGTTCTCCTCGCGCAGCTGGGCGGCGGCAAGCTCTTCAGCGTGGGCGGCCTCCTCGCGCTCGCGCTCCAGCTGCATCTGGCGCTCGATGGCGGCCAGGCGTTCGGCCTCGTCGGTGGCCATTTGACCTCTGAAAGCTGACTTTTTTCGCGTGGAGAAAGAAGCACGAACTTGAGGGCGGCGATGATCTTGTCAACGCGGCGCACGCACTCCTCGTAGGCGTCGGTGTTGGCGGCCAGGTCGGATTCCTGGTCCTGAAATGCGCTTTTTAAACTTTTTTCCATGAGTCCAGGTTGGTCAAATCGATTAAATAAAGTGTTTTCAGATTATTTTAAGCCAGTTTTAACTATATGTTAAGAAGAAAACTTGAAAAAGAGCGAAAGTGTTCGCAAAAACCCAAAAAGTTTGGGATTTTGCGAGCGAAAAGTATAAAAATTACTAAAGACATTCGATGCTCAGAAATAGTCAACATCCACAACGCAATCACTATGTATCGAAAAAATCTCAACTCGATTTCCTATTATTCAAAATACAGATTATGAAAATTCCGAATGATGGTAGATTTATCGATTTTTATTGAAGAAAATATACCTTGCACTCCCCGAGAAGCGCGACGAGCGCCTTCTGCGTGCCATCCACTTCCGGTCCCCATTCGTCCTTCGAGGCCGGCGCCAGCTGCTCGACAATCCCTTGCATTTCGGTGCCGCGGCGTGTCAGCGCCTCAACCTTCTTGAAGAGGGCCAGGTGGGGGAGGGTGCGACGGCGGGCGAGGAAGCCACGGACGAGGCGCTGGATGGTGCGCAGGCGCTCGGCACGGTATTCGATCTTGTTCTTTAGTTTGATGACGCTCCACACGCCGTACTGGGCCTTGCGCCAGCGGACGTTGAGCAGCCACTGCTTCACTTTGGCCACCAGCAGGGCCATCGCCGCCGGGTCTTGACGGAGAAGCTGGAAGTGGTTGAGGTGCAACAAGGCGGGCAGGGGCTACCTGGTCAAATTCGGCAAACTTGGCCGGGCGGAAGAACACCTTGGTGAGCCCGAACTTGAAGTCGGTCGTGTCGAGCCCGAGCACGCGGAACAGGCACTAAGAATGGTGTAAAAACGGGCCAAAAACACTGACCTTGCAGAAGAGGCGCGGGTCGAGGCGGGCCAGCTCGGGCGGCAACACGGACGCATACATGTCGTAGAGCTCCTTGAAGCCGGTGCGCGACGGGTAGCCGGCGTGCATCAGGCGCAACACGGAGCCCATGCCGGCGCATCGCAGCTGCCCCAGTACGGCCGCCCCCTCGAACCTCCACGGCGACATCGACGAGTTCGGCTTGACGCACCGCACAAAGTGCGTGCCCTAAAAATATGCATCAAACAAGATACGCAAAAACTTGCCGTAAGCGCCAACTTGTCGATGAGTTGGGCGAGCTGGGTGCGGAACTTGGAGCCGACGGACGGGACGACGAGACGGCTGCGGCCAGGGGTTGACGGCGCTGCGGCGGCAGCCTCCGAGGTTTCGAAGAGCAGCTTCATCAGGGGCATTCTAAAACAAAAGAATAATGTCGACCACGAGACCACATACGTGCTCGTCTCCATGATGGCTTCGAGGGAGGCGTGCAGGGCGTCGTTGTTCTTCTCCAAGAAGCCGGCCGTCTGGTAGCAGACCGTGCCGGCAAAGTGGCGGACGAGCAGGCCGTCCTCGTCGCGCATGCCGCGGTGCTCCTTCAGCATCGATTTGCGGGGCGCCTAAAAAGGAATTCAGCGACAAATCTAAAATGTTTACATCAAGCCGGAAGTGCTTCTGGTTGGCTCGGTGGACGCCCTGGGTGAAATTGGCGGCGGACGGCTTGGGAAGGCGCATCTCCTCGTCGAGCAGGTCGAGCATGCCGGTGCCCTTCTTCTCGAAAAGTTCTAAAAACAAAAATTTTCGTCAAAAAAGGATGAAGCGCACCAATGCAATCCTGGTTGTCGGCGTACTCGATCTTGGCCACGCCCAGTCCCTCGGCCTCGTACAGCTCCTGCTCTTGCTTCAGGATGCGCTCGTTGAAGAAGTGCTGCAGCTTCTCGTTGCAGTAGTTGATGCAGAACTGCTCGAACGAGTTGACGGTAAAGTATTCTGAAAGAAAAGTAGCGAAAAACTTTAGCAAGCCGTACCAAAGCCAGCAATATCCAGGACGCCAATGTAGTTGTGGCTGTTGGTGAATGGGATGCTCCTAAAGAAAAGGAAATTCCCCAAAAGGCAATAGTGTGAATACTTGTTGATGGTGGCGACGATCCAGTCGAACAGGCGCGAGTAGATGGCCTTGGCGAGGGCGTCGCGGGCGGCGGCCGCTTCAGCAGGCTTCAACGGGACCCTGGAAAAAGGATAGTCATTTGGGTAGAGATAAAATAGCAGAGATAGATCGATTAAAGCACTAAAATTATCGTCGAAATCATTATGAAAGTAGAAAAAGTATGAAATATGGGTTTTTCGGGCTGCTAGTAAGTTTTTTTCGCGCTCTATCGAACGGTACTTTCTAAATATCGACTTTTCGGTTCAAATTCGCTTTGCCAGGACACTTTTTGACGCTCGATCAGTTAGGGCGATTGCCCGACTGGACTTTATGCACCCCGTCACTCTATGTGTACATCTGCGGATTTTTTGGTAATTTTGTAACGTTTTGTAACACAAAAACACACAAAATGAGGGTGCCCTTGACGCCTCCACGGGTGGGCTGCATGGCGCGGGTGGTGAGCGACATTCGCAGCTGCTGCCCGTCAATTCCCAGCATTCCGGCGGCCCTCACGGCGGCCAGATCGCCATCGCCCGGCGCGACGCGGCTTCCGTCTAAAATGCGACAAATTACAAAGGTAATATTGGGCCGTGGAGATAAAGGGCTTTGTATCATCTAGGCGTTTTTGCATCCAAATAAGCCGCACAGTTTTAGAAACCAAAAGCTCCACATTTTTAAAGTTCGCTCGCCAGCTGTCAGTCCAATATCACGAAAACCCTCACCTTTTCCGCCCTCATCATTCGCCACAAACTCGACGTTGCCGAGGTGGAGCACGCCGGCGACGGTGCTGAGCAGCTGCTTGCGAGTCGTCTCGTCGAGGCCGCACTGCTCCAGGCAGGCCAGCAGGCGCTTGAAGTCGCCGGCATCGTCAACGACCGGGTCGATGCACGTCTTGCCCTGAAAATAAAGAATTTAAAGCTCAGCTCGACTTTTCATACCTCGGCGGCCAATCGGTCCTGGCTGATGGCGTTCTCGCTGTCGGCGCGGGCGAAGAAGTCGACGCTGCCACGGCGGAGGTACTAAACGAAAAGTATAAAATAAATAAAGTAAGTAATATTTAAATAAAAATAAGGGAAAACGGAAAAATAAAAATACAGCCATGTAGAAAAAATATTGAAGAAATCTAGAAGGGGAAAATGATAGAAAAGAAATTCTCGCAAGGAAAAAGAAATTAGAAGAAAGCAGAATTCTAAAAAAATTTCTAAAAAAAGCAAGTTTGGGCTCCGTGGCACTCCTTTAGCCGTCGATTGGAAAGTTGCGTACTAAACGGGCGCCATTTTTGTAAAATTTGTTAGGTTAAAAAATTCGATAAACTATTTCTAAACAACATAAAATGTCGAAATTCATTTTTCGGATTGGTTTTTAGCGTCAAAACCGACATGGAAGCGGTCGGGCGGCGCGAGGCTGTACAGCTTGTACATGTCGGCGTCGGCGCCGGCGATCAGCTGGTAAAAGATGTGGTAGTTGCGCTCCCCATCCGACTGGCCGACGATGCGCGACTTCTCCAGCAGGTAGTGCGACACGTGGCCGCCAGTAACGGCATTCTAAATGGCATACATTTAGGTGTTGCTCGGGCTGGGTACCTTATTGTCAAAGTGGATCTCGACGAATTTGCCGAAACGCGAGCTGTTGTTGTTGCGGCTCGTTTTGGCGTTGCCGAACGCCTCGAGGATCGGGTTGGCTGCAATGGTAAAAGGTATCGATTTTTATTAAAATTCAGTGATTTTAGGTATTTTAAGTCTAGAGTTTTTAAGCTTTGAAAGGTTAGGTTCCAGTTATTTTATTTAGATACTGGAAGTGTTTCTGAACTGTTTTTTGCCTCTGATTCCTCAACGTAAAAACTTTAGCAGTTTTTGTTAATACAAAATAATGATTTTTACTTTTCAAAAGGGTTTTAGTTAGACTTTCTAGTCTATAGTTAATGTATAGTTAATGGGTTATAGTTAATTTCGCTATTGGAGTTATTTATTAGACATTCCTGGACTTAGAATGTAGGACAAAAGTTGGTTCCCGCCCCTCGATATTGCGCAAGTACCTTTTTAAAAAATTCTTTGGCCATTTTCATCAGTTTTTCGGCCAACTTTAGTAAATCTAAACCAAAACAAGGCTTTAACGGCCAGATTGACTTTTTTTTGCAAGTTTTTGGCAGGCAAAAACGCACTCTCGAGCAGCCGCTGCTGGATGGGCCCGGCGGTCTGGCCCCAATTCTCGCACAGATACTTGAGGACGGCCTTCTGGCTCTCCGTCTTGCCGGCGCCGGATTCACCGGAGACGAGGATCGACTGCGAGCGGCCCTGGCGGCGCATGTCACGGAACGCTTTGTCGGCTGGAAAAGACCAGGTAAGTTGATTACTTCCTTGAACCGGCTAACCAATGGCATAGACATGAGGGGGCTGTTGGCCGATGGATTTGCCGCTGTAGGAGGCCATCGTCTCCGTCGAGTACAGGCCGGGAACCTCGGCGTACGGGTTGATCGAGATCAGCATGTTGGCCACGTACGTCTGATGAGTTTGGTAAATACCCTTCGGTGCGAAAAAAATTACATAGATCTGGTTGTCATTGGCAAAACGGCGGCGGCAATTCTCGAGGAGGCTGCCCTCATTGAGGTACATCAAGGCACAGTTGTCATCGTACGTCGTCCCATCCGTCGTCTCTTCGGCAGGAAAGACGTCGTCGGCTTTCACGTCCACCTAGAAAGTAGAGGCTACAAAAAGCAGATTCGCTGTGCTGTATCGAGGTAAGTCCGCTGATATCATTAACTTTAATAAAAAGAAATATGAAAAATCTACAGAAGTTTTCGAAACTTTGAATTTAGCAATTTTCCTACATTTTCGTGAAAAACGCCATACTTTTGAACGTAGTTACTACTTTACTTATACTCTTTTCTATAGTAAGCAATTTCGAAAATCAAAAACGGAAATAGGTTCTGTTCTATTTCGCGGGGGGGAAAAAACTGTGCGGGGGGGGAAAATATGCCTCGCCAAAACTTCTATGTATCGCTATTTTCTCGGGATTTTTGCAATGCCATTCGATAGAGCATCAAAAAATATACTAAGAGTTTTTGTTTTAGCTAAAAATATTGTAATATAAAAAAGTTATAGAAAAAACAAAAAAAAACTATTGAAACTGGTGCCGAAATATTAGTTTTCGACATTTTCGCCAGTTTTTCGATATTTTGTACCCGTCATTCGATAGAGCATCAAAAAATATACTAAGAGTTTTAATTTCATCTAAAAATATTGTTTTATAAAATAGTTATAGCAAAAACAAGGTTTATACGGTGTTTCCACATGGGATCGTGGAGTCGAAAGCTAGTTTTCGACATTTTCGATATTTTTTAAAAATTCCTTTCATGCCATTCGATAGAGCGTCAAAAAATATACTAAGAGTTTTAATTACAACTCAAAATAGCATCATATAAAAGAGTTATAACAAACCTAAGAACATTTTCCCCCCCGCACAGTTTTTTCCCCCCCGCGAAATAGAACAGCACCCGGAAATAAAATAGAATTTCGAACGAGAAAAATGTATGTTCCTACCTTATATAATTTGGTCGCGTATCTTTGTGTGTGTGTGTGCGGAGGTCAGTTTCGAGGCAGGATTTGAGGGCATTCCCGTGTCCAAAACTCCCCAATTTTCCGCCCCTTGGGGGAATCGACCCTCCTCTTTTCGATGGTGTTTTCAGAATTCCGATAAAGTACAAGTTTACAAAGTTGAAGGCGATTTTATTAATTTTTGGGGTCCGGGAGGGCTAATTTGCATAATGTGCAAAAAATAGAAATTTCCTCATTCTTGCAAGTTGCACTCGCGGGTTTGGTCGGGACAGGGAAGGGGGTCCGAAGGACCCGAGTCAAACTTTTCATGCAAAGGCCGCATTCCAGCGCCCAAGGCCCGCGAAGCGGGTTTTGGGCGCTGGTTTTATAATAATTAGTCTAGGGATCACACCTCCTTCCCATCGACGCGGCGCTTGACGGAGAGGGCGTTGGCGCGGATGTCGGTGATGTCGCCGAGGACGTAGCTGAAATTCGTATGTTTCAAAGAATACAAACTGCATATTTGGCGCAAAAATCAAATTTCTCACCCATGGGCCGGATCGGGAACCCAGACGACGCGCTCGAAGCCGATGCTCTCGGAGCCTTGGCGGGTGACTTCCATCTTGGTGAAGCTGTTGAAAAGCTGCAGCCGGGAAAAGATGGAATGAAAAAGTAACTTTTTCTTTTTATACGGAGTGGTAAATGGAAATTTTGGACAGCTTCCGGTCGGCGGTTATGTAAATGTATGTATGTAGTTATGTAAATTGTTTCTAGATACAGATTGTGAAAGCAGTAGAAACGTCTTGTAAAGCGACTTACCTTACCTGGCGTTTTCTAAATGGTTTTTTGAACTGAAAATTCAGAAAAGTAAGTTTATTATGACTCAGTTTGATCCAGATGAAAGGCATTTTGGTGACCGCCGACGAAAATGTGACGCTTTTCAACTGAAACGGACTGGCGTTTTTTCCGACGTTTTTCCGGTACTGTACCGTTTCAGGGCGGTTTTTAGCAGGGGCAAAGCAAATTTTTCCCGGTAATCAGGGCCGGCTCTACACACAAATTCTAGAACATTTCTATAGAAATTTTCGGAGTTTTCAGAGATAAAAAGGTCACACAAATTCTAAAAGTCTCCGAAAATTCTTGACTTTTTGGACAAAAATGTATAAAATGCACCAAAAAAGATAATTTTCGAATTGTCGTCAATTTTTAACATTTTTTATAACTTTCTAGCGATGAAAAACTACTAAAATCGCTATAAAAAGACATAAGGTATCATCAACAAAACAAAAAGTGCCTCTACTGCTAAACCCCCCCCCGCTAACAGTCCAGAACCTAAATTTGCATATGGAAGCGTGGGTGAATCCATTTGCATCGGATTGAGGCCTTTTAAAAAAATTTCGCCGCCGAGATCCCATTTTTTAACTTTTCACCACTACTTTGCGGTTTTTATGGCTCAATCGGGTATTATTAGAGTGGGTGCTTATGCAAATTTCAATTTTATGCCGATTTTACAGCTAGCTGAAGGCGAAAAAGTCGACAAATGGGTGTGCACGAAGAAGCTGGGCGAGGGCGCCTGCGGGGCCGTCTTTTTGGTACGGTTTGATATTACGTATTAGTAGTAGCTTAAGGGCGATTTTACAGTTTTAAAACAGTAAAAACTAATGTAATATACCTTTGTAATTTTAGCGTAATTTTACACAGTTTTAATAGAGTTTTTATATAGTTTTAAGCAGTAAAAAAATACCGTGATGTTCTATTTTTGTTAAAATAGCGATGGTTTCTTCGCATCATTTTTAGTGCTATTTTAAAACGATTCTAGCTTACAATTAGTATAACTTACGATTTCAGGTGAAGCACACGGACGATGGACGTGAGGGTGCCCTGAAAGCCGAGGGAACCGAGGAGCCCGTGCCGGTGCGGGGTTTAATTTTTTTTTATAGATTCTAGCGAGCGTGAAGCATTTCAATTAGTTATAATTTTGTAACGACTTATAAATAACCGAAACTCCCTTAACATTTAAAAAAATGCCCGCGAATTTTAGGGTTTTGAAACAATGTTTCATCAATGTCCCCTAAAGAACCTTTTGTAGGCTCAGTAATCCATGTATCGTGCAATTTTTTTGGCCGTTATAATTAGCTGTAACATCCTTTCGGAACCCCGCCAATGATTTATTTTTTTGATTTCTGAAAGGCGTTTCAAAAATTGTGAAAAATAGTAGAAATATCTCATGCTTATTGTTCCGCCGTTATCGCTTACACCAATATAAGTTTTATTGCTTCCAATTTACAGCTGCTGCGCATGGAGGCGATCGCGATGATGGACCTGGCGAAGGGGCGGTGCCGTCACGTTGCCGAGCTCATGGATAAGGTCATTTTAAGATACAAACTTTTATTTGAAGGGTCAATTTTTGAAAATTAGTTTTAAAAATGCAGAAAATATGTTTCGTATCTTTTTTGAGTTTTTCATAATATTTCTTGAGGTAATAGAGGTTGCTCCCGTTTTGGTGACCAAAAATTGCAAAATTTGGTGTGGTTGCCAATTTCAGAAAGTGTGGGTATTTCAAAACTACAAAATGACTACAAATCGGCTTTTAGCCCCCCCTCCCCCGTTATCAGACCAGTACCACTACAAAAGCAGCTCCGAAAAAATCCAAACTTTTCGAATATTTTCGATTTACGTACGATATTATAAGCGCCCCCCCCGCCAACATCCCAATACCACTCTCCAGGCAGCTCCTGAAAAATTTCATGTTTCGATTTTTTTCCGAGTTACACGTCAATATTGGCAAGCTAATCGACCGTTGTCAATGTCGTCACCCAAAAAAAGCCTTGTAAAATCGATAATCTTTTTTCGGGTTGGATCTTATTGAATCCTTGATTTTTAGGGAAAACAGGACAACTTCAACTGGATTGTGATGCGACTGGTGGGGAAGAGTCTGCAGGATATGAAGAAGACTGGACCCAATCAGCATCTGTCGCCCGGTACGGTCTATCTCTCTCTCTCTCTCTCTCTCTCTCTCTCTCTCTTTCTCTCTCTCAATATGCTCTCTATTCCAGGTGTCGCCATCTCGGTGTCGATCCAATGCCTCGAGGCCCTGGAAGACCTTCATGTGGCTGGATATCTGCATAGGTTGGTTTAAGAAAATAACCCGGGCAGGCTAGCAGAAACAATTTGCGGAACTGAGTTTTCTAAAGACCTAAAACAACTTCTAAAGGGATTGGCGAAACCAAACACTTTTAAAATGTCCTGTGAATCGGTGTTTCAGATCGGAAAGTCGTGTTTTTCTGCTCCTAACGTCGGGTTTCTAGCATATCACCGACCTTCAAAATTACTTCAAAAAGGGCTAAATTCTAAATTTACAAACTAGCTAAAGACTATCTAAGGCATAAGTGTGGGTAACCCCCCTCCCCGCCGGCACCCACCTACCGTATCTCGGCTCCCTGTTCATCTACAGGTGTGTAAAGTATACCAAAATGTTCGCCATGCTTTGGCAAGTATTTTGGTATACTTTACACACTTGTAGATGAACAGGGAGCCGAGATACGGCAGGTGAGGGTCGGCTGGGGGGGGCTAAACTGTACTCTAACCAAACTGCTAAAGACACTATAAAAATACATACTGTAGGATCAACAACATGTGAAAAATAAAAATGAACCACCCCCGGTAACAGCTCAGCACCAAAATCTTCCTATTTTTAAGCCCTTGTGAAAATGTTATATCCTTTTTGGCAGTCACAAACTGCGCAAAATATGCTTTCCCGTTGATCCTCACCCCCCGCTAACAGACCAGCACCTCGATTTCGCAGGGACATCAAGCCGGGCAACTTTTGCGTGGGCCGCGCCGAGACGAACGAGTTGCGCAAGATCTACATCCTCGACTTTGGCATGTCGCGTCGTTTCATCGGCCCCGATGGCGTCATACGCAAACCCCGTCAGGCCGCACAGGTATATTTTTCGCTGGTGAGATTCCTTGATATTAAATGCTTATTTTTTCCGGGTTTATTAGGCTTTGCTGAAACACCTACTTTTCTTTTTTCCGCGCATAAGAAATATTAATTATTTTGTTTTTCCGGGTTTTTTTAATGCTATTTTAAAACACCTATTTTCCAGTTCCGCGGCACCCCCCGCTACGCCCCGATTGCCAGCCACGAGAGCCGCGACCACTCGAGGAAGGAGGAATTGGGTATGGTGCGGGCTTATGCATTATCGGGGGGGCAGCACGACCTTTTTTTTTGGGGGGGGGGGGCAACTCGAAAATCTTGCGTGAACAACCGATGTTTTTTTGCAATCACGTTTGGTACGACAGGATTGTAAAGTACGAATGTTTCATGATTCGTAAAAAGATTGTGTTTTTGGACTACTTTGAAACTTTGGAAAATTTTCCCTGCGTCGGTATTTCTTGCCAAGTTTTGTGCCATATCGTTACTGTCTTTATGCCACAAAAATTATGCAAAACAAACACGAAAAAATTAATGTTTCAAAAAAAACACCAAGATCAGAAATGTTTATTTTTTTTACTACTGAGCGGTGAATGGATAAAATGTGAATTGAGAAAAAACTGGCATTATAGGATTTTTGTAACCATTTATAATAGCAGAAATTTCTTTCAGTTCTCTATCATCAACTATAATAAAAAAAGTAGTGGTGTCCGTCTGTCCGTCGTGTCCCGGATTCAACTCGAAGGGGAAAGGAGCTAGAGCTTAGGTCTCTTCGGATTCGGATAGAGCGTGGTCAGAAACCCCCAAACTGATTAAAAAATTATGAAAAAGTTTTTGTTTAAATTATTAAAATTAACTTTGAAAGTTTTTCCTTAGTAAAAGGAGTGGGGCCCCTCTCCCGGGAGGCCACGCCCCCTTTCCCTTCGCCCCTCTTCCCCAGGCCCTTTACCGCGTCCAAATAGCTTTTTAAGTTACTTTAATACTTTTTAATATACTTTTTAATACTTTTAATTATGTTAATTAATTATTTAAATTATTTAAGGTATCTAGGTAGGTATTTAGGTAGTTTTTGAAGGGGATTTCAGCCATGGGGGGTATCTGAAGCCATCAGGAAGGTATTTAGGTAGTTTTTGAAGGGGATTGCAGCCATGGGGGGTATCTGAAGCCATCAGGAAGGTATCGGGGTTAGCGGGCGTAGCCCGCTAACCCCTTTTGGTTTGAGGTACCCCCCCATACGACTTTTTTGGGGTCCTTTTCCGGATTTAAAAAAGAACCAAGCATCGGATCGCGAAACCGAATACACCATCGGAACCGGCGACACTTTTTACATACTATAAGCTTTTAAAAATTGAAAAAGAATGAAATTTCGAATTTTAACAGCCGATTTAAATTGCGTTTCGAGGGGGGGGGGTCTGCGTTTGTTTGTATGTCGGGGCGTACGCAAAACCTTTGTAGTCGTCAAAAAGTGCCTTCCCACCATCCGTTTGGGCTGAAATTTTGCACAGTTATTGGGTGAATGATAATCTCGGACCGCAAGAAGAGTTTTTTTCAAAATAGGCTTTTAAAAAATTTATATTTAATTTTTAAGTTTAGAAGCTAAATTGCGGCCAAAACATGGGTTAGTGATGTCCGTTTGGGCTGAAATTTTGCTCAAATAGGCATTAGACCATGCCAGATAAAGTAAA